GTGGAGCGCTCTCCAAGGAGGACTGGTCTCCGGGGTGATTACTGTAAGAGCATCTACAACGAGGTCGTGCGTGGGAGTGTTTTACGTCACCTCCAGGTTTGTGTCTCAAGAACGTTTTCACACCATTCCACACCTGCAATATCCTTCAATAATAACAATAAAAAGTATATAATACATAATAATGCCGGTGATGCTGGTGTTCCAGACATGTGATCCTGACCTTGAGGGTGCTGAGCATATCCTCATGAAGATGATGATGCTACAGCGGATGAGCGCATCAGCATCGGATCCCGCGAATAGCGTTGGATGCGCTGCAGTGGTCGTTTTGATCACGCCATCAAACATAATTTGCGCCAATGCAGGCCGCTCCTTCCCGCTGGGTCAGTGGTCAACTGTGAGACTCGAGATTGAAGACCAATTGACAGTTGAGGTATGCCCACGGAAGCAGGGAGATGCATCTATCTCAATCTCTATACATACCACAAGTGTCAAGATTGTGTGAGACAGTATGACTCAGTATGAGTTGTTTTCTGTTGACCAATCATGGTATGTTGTTTCTTCAGCCATCGGCGGCCATCGGCTTTCCTTGAGTTCATGCTCATTACCAACCCATAGAGATCCCCAGACAGCGAAAGGATCTCACAAGACATATCCTATCAGGAGATTCATCGGGGAAGCCGTGTTCCATATAAATTGGATTGAGAAACATTTGACGCCTAAGATGAGCTCGGATCATTTGACAAGCTGCGGCAGGTGACTCTCGAGCTGTCCTTTGCCGGGGGGGCCGCCCCGTCGCCTTGTCCATCGACCACAAGCCCAACTTGGACTCCGACGCCCAAGTGGAAGCGGAGTCGATAGCTGAACTGGGAACGATAAGATCGGAAACAAAGAACCAAAAGGGAAACATGTTGGGACTGCGTAATGGGAACGAGTTCGGAACTACCATGTATGAGCGCTATCCTGTGGGTTGAATGCACAGAATATGGCTTTGAGAGGGTATCTGTACTTGCCGTTCATCTGCCACGTACACTGCGGTTTGGAAGCTGGACCCTCCCGTCCCGAGCGAAGGTGTGGATTACAATTCGTGGTTAGCTATTGGCCGTCGCTGGGTCGAGTGGGTTGTTCCTGTTTTTGGCAGATGACATTGTCCGGCAGTCTCTGAGGAGTCCCGGCGAATCGAAGCAGCGGGCGGCACAGTGCAGGCGGTGCGAAGGGGGACTTTTACCACCTACCGGGTGAATGGAGACTCGTCATTTCTCGTCATTGGGTAGATGAGCTGGGGCTTTCGGAGAGATACTGCGACTCTTTGGCCAGGACCCAGTCCCTGGCATTTTTCGGAGAAGCTTTCGAGTTGAAATGTGGCACCTTGATGTCCCTCGCAGAAACACAGATGTAGTGGACATTAGTGGACCATTTTCTGCGGCCTGCAATCATCATGGTCACTGATTCGAGTTTCCTGTTGTGGTACATACCTTCACAGCGCACAGAGACCACAGAGATATATACTTTCACCATGCGGCTTGGTATTTGCAGGGTATTGGGCGGCATTTTGTTTAAGTTACTTTGGTGATATGTACTGTATGAGGGCTGTAAGACAATGCGGGAATTCTCTACTCTAGGCCTAGTTGGCGCTGTGACGTGTCCTTACGGAACTAAATCTTGGTTTCTGAGTGTTGCAGACTGACTGTTTGTGGAAAACCCCCATCGCTCTAAACTAGCCCCCATTCACCAACTCCAAAAGGTCCAGATTGAGGTTGTCTACCCAATGAATGATTTATTCATCAATTTGTGGCAATAGACCCGTGAATTGCGATTGTTGAGTCAGTGGCAATCATTTCTATGCTGCGTTGGGTTCGTCGTGGCTGCGGGACTCACAAGTTCACCGTCTGGGCGGGTCAGCTTTCCGAGCCCAGGAAACCTGAGCCTGTCTCGGGCCATAGGCAAGATGATGGGCCATAGATATGGAGGGACATATTCTGGAAATGACTGTTTAGGATGAAAGTGCTGACAATCCTGGACATACACAGGCGCAGAATCCTACACAGGCGCAAGTAAAATACTGCAGGAGCGGATTAAACGTGGCATGGCTTTGGCATGATTTCGGCAAGGGCATCTTCAATTCTTCAATCTTTAATTGATTGAGAAATAAATTGGCCGCATCACGACCAGAAGGATACTCAGCCATCAATGTGATCATTGTTCTTCTGTAGGAGTGTTTTTTTGCCATTTTACGAACGGAAATTGCAAGATCATACAGATTTCAAGCTGCAGCAATCACAACCAGAAGAAATTGATAGATGAGGGACTCAAGTGTATCAGAAGTGGCATAGCACCTGAGCAGGAGGTGCCAGCGCAGGTGTTCATAAGGGTGTTCCCTTCCGAACACATGGGCCAGTACTGCTGACTGTTGAAGAATTGGACTTGAAGTCTTGAAATTTGATTCAATCAAGACCGACCGGCATCTCGAAAGAGTGACAGGTGACTTGCAGTACAAGTCGCAGCCGCCGCTTGGATTATTGTGAGTCGAAGCTGTGTTCAAACATGTTCGCTGCCGCCAACGTACATGCCATGACTCCATGACTACCACACCATGCTGTCAAAGCCTTTGTTCAAAGGCTACCTGTCATAAGTCCCACGCCACCAAGGGCCCACCATCACTCATGATTTCCCCCCAGACATCTCAGGGCGTGTCGCTCCCGCATCATCCCACGTCTACAGGTTTCTTAACGGGGCTAAACTCATGAGAAATGCAATTAGAGACACGACCACCTGTACTGGCACGTGTCAAAACTCTGCACTCGTTGTCTTCGTTTTGCTTGTCACATCGACCGGAAACCAAGGAATCTTCCACCCGAGCGGCAGATGGTGACCTCGGTTCCCGAGATCATCCAGCATCCGAGACACTCAGACGACGAGTTCGTGGTGGCACCTCGCAGACAAAAAGAATCAAAAAGACGTAGCACCTGCTGCACCCACCCGAGCTGGAAGGAAATGGATGCCAACAAAAGGATGCTTTTTCATCAGCAAAAAAGGATGTTCCCAGATCCTTTTGCGAACAAGGTTGCTTGAGGGTTCAGGAGATGTCACTTGCCAGCCACAGTAGAGCTAAGCCAGGTGGCCTGCGATGGCATTTGGGACGTCAAGACCTCATCGGAGGTGTGCAACTTCATTCGGCGTCGCTTGATGCGACAGTTGCTCGGATGGCCAGAAAGTACGTAGCTAGGGAAGGTCCAGCTGAGGAGTCGAGGAGAGAGAAACTGAAGAAAGATCGTGTAAAGGAGTTTGGTATCAAGATGTTGGATTAGAGTTGACGAGTTTGTGTTGTTTTGAGTATGATAGGCTCGGATAGAGTCAAGATAACTCAAGACTCAGAGCCATTAAACGACCTCCTTGGTGGAGATTCACTCGGACACTCATACTTCGCACGGCTGGTGCGAAGTCTAAAGTCGCGGCTGGGGTTCTTCCATCATCCGCCATGATTCCCTGGAGTCCCCCAAAGTCCCCCAAAGTCCCCCCAGTCTTCACTATGTTTTGCTGGGTCAAAAGCCAAAGACTATATAGTAGGGCCTTAGTACGGGGAGGATTCTGATCACAGCGATTGTTGTGCAGCAGTCTTTGGACATTCTGTTCCTTTGCTATATGGGTGAGAAGATGTGAGAAGTGAAAAAGAAAAGTAAAACATGCCTACTAAAGTTTCAAGGCTAAATTTTAAAGGACCCAAGCCTCTTCAGATCAGCCTTGTCGGAGTTTGCTTCAAAAGGTGCTCAAGGTAGTAAGGCCAGGAGCCGGGATGTATTGGACCACCATCTCTCTCAGGATGCCATTGCAAATGGTCATGGAGCAGTTGTTGGACTCATGCTGCACTGGAGATCCCAAGCGCAGTATGGGTCTGGGCGCAGACAACATGACATTGATAGTGGTTGTGCTGCTGGGTCGAGAATGGCTTTCTGTGTTTTTGTTTGCCATTTGTTTCAACCTTTGTTCAATCCCCAAACAAAATCTTTTCTTTTAGATGTTTCAGAAGACATCGGTGTGCTGACCCCTAGCACTATTCAGTGAACCACAAGTGTCTGCAAGCTTTGAGATGCGACGCCCGTTGCAGGTTCAATCAATGGGACCCTTCAATGGCCACCTCGAAAGGGAGCTCCTGCGCTTGTGCTGTGTCATAGGGCATGCCATCAGGCTTTTCAGGAATTTTCAAGAATCAGAAGTGGCCACTGTCTAAAGGCCATGCAACCACGGCACCATCAGACCGTGACCCACCAGATCCTTCAGTCAAAGCCCACACGATTCAGTCACAGCTTCACGTTGGTTGATGGCCATGATTCGGTCTTCCGAATCAAAAAACCTCATGGAATCTTTGGTGTTTCTCAAAGCAGGAGACTTGGGAGACCGAAAACACATACGAACTCTGTGAGCACCAAGCACATCCAAGCATCGTGTCATTCATCATCATAATCTATTCGATCTTTCATGGTGATTCCAGGCCCCTGAGGTCCCTGCGTTTGGAAGCATTTGACTCCCGGGCTGTGATTCAGCTCCAGGGAACTTGTTTCAGTTTCACTCGCGACATGTGGCGTTACTCTCAGTTCGTCGCGAAGTAGACTCATAGACGAGTGCAAGAAAGTGGTATTTCTTTTTTTGTCATTGTGCGTGTTGCTCACTTTGGAATGTGGATTCGGATGAATTTGGATGAACCCTACCTACCTTGCTGCCAACATAGCCCTCGGGGTTTTGACCAGACAGGCAAGATTGAAAGCCTCTCACGGAACAGAGAGTGATTTGGGCAACTTTGGGGCTGCCGATTCACTCATCATGATGATCCCTGCGCTATCCTGCGTTCCATCTAAGTCGTTGTATAAAGTGCTGTGACCCCTGCCCCAAACACGGTTGTTTAGTCAGAGTTTGGCTCAGCTTACTGAATCACAGGTGCAACAGTCCTTTTTTCTGGTGGCCATCCCACATGTTCCGACGAGTTTTGGCCAATTCTCAATGCCAAGGTATCACTTCGGCTACTCACCTACGGTCGTGTGCCCTGTCCGGATAATGAGCAAGCCAAAAGAGTCCTGCACTTGAACACAGCCTCACACCCACTTGGATTTTGCCCAGATGGGATATGATGGGATGTAACTTGATTCTGAATACTTTCAGTAACAGATCAGATCCAGCAAGCATGATGTCTCGAGGGATTTATGTTTTGTGTTTCTCAGACTCACTGCTCTGCTTGCCTGTTTGTCCATCTCTCACTTCTATACACTGTAATACTTTTAGGACAATACTTCCCTTTCAAACAGGATTCCCGGTTTTCCTGCAGGAAATGTCACAAGCAAAGCCGAGAATGCAAGTGCGTTGCCCATTTCTCCAGGTATCCCAAGAGACCGGACAAGCAGCTGTTCGTGAACTTGGCGGCTTGGTCGAAGTAATAAGGAGGCATCACCAGAGGTCGTGAACGGGACGAAGAGAGTGTTTCGAAAGAGTTGGAAAAACATGAAAATTCAGTAATTATACAGACCATGAAGAGGGTCGAAATGGTTCATGGCATGGAACTACCAGTACCAGCCATTCTTCAAGGCCATGGGATGTGGGACGTCCAGACTTCGATGCCAAGGTGACTCAATGCGAACAGCTGAAGATCCCGGTCCTCTCTGAACTGCCCGATCTCCAAGGCCGAAGGGCACAGACATAGCTGGGCGACTCAAACAGCACTGTTCAGTCGTGTTTGTTGGAAAAGTGTACCCAAAGGATCGCTCCTGAAACTGCTGGGAAAGCCCTGGCGCCCAAGCAAGTGTAATGACCTCATGTTCTTTTTCCTGGCAAGGCTTTGAGGTGGCCCTTGATGCTGTCTTTGGTTTCTCCTTTAAGGGCACGAGCCTCGGCACCAGTTGAGTGGTGTGCTTTGGACTTCGGGTGGAGCCATGGGGGACAGTCGGTGGGCGGAAAGCACCTGAGCAACATTCTGTCATTTTCACAGAATCTGGGAATATCGATCCAGACAGACTCCTTGAAAATCTCAGTCATTAGGGAGATCCAGAGACACGTTCGTCCAAAGAATCAGATTCTTTGCCACCTTTGCTCGGCAGCTGAGACTCGCCACGCAAAACACTATTAGCTTATTGTTTCTAATAGCAAACATTGTTACTACTAGTAAGGCCAGGAGCCCCTAGTAGCTTCTTGCTCCTAGTAGTAAGGCACTTGTTTCTAATAGCTTTTTTGTTACTACTAGTAAGGCACCTGTTACTACTAGCGTGGCACTTGTTTCTAATAGCTTTTTTGTTACACCTCTGGAATTCTATGAGGGTGGCGTCCACTCCGAACGCCTGCGTCTTGGGTCGATGGGCCAGGCCACGACCGCCCTTTGCCGAGATGCTGAAGGCACTTGGGAGAGGTTTTGTGGGAGTCAAGTGCAGGTACCGAACAGTGACTAATACCAGCTAGAAGTATATCTGAGACTATACAAGATCAGGTAAAAGAAAGCCAAAGGTGTCCTGCAGGGAAGATCTCACAATTTCTGTCCAAGGTGCATTTGAGATTTTCCACAACCGACGTTCCTTAAGTTGATTAAAATGTACTCAATGTGGGAGCCATCAAACTGTGCATGTTTGATCAAAAGGGTGAAATCAATCCAACCAACGATGCATCCAACGGATACCTTGCGCATCCTTGCGCCCTGGACTTAATCTAGAAGTTCATCAAATCCAGATGGTGTAGAGATTAATAGAGGAAAGATGCTCTTCCCAACTCCGACCCTAGTGTGATCACTCTCTGTGGGCTGGCAAGGCTATTCAAATCTCAAGCTTGAAGGTCATGTCTGTGGACATCCCAAGCGGTTGGGATGTGGAGACGCTTTGCTGCGACATGGAGGGTACTCAGCTGTGTCGGCTGCTGTCAAACTTTGGGGAAGACGATTTGCTTGTATCGACTGGAGCGCACCCACAGAATTAAAGACTTGATTTTCATGGACGCATCGGTTTCATGCCAGGTTTTCTCACCAAACGCTCTCAGTAGAACATGGGGCAATCATGCCATAAGCAACCAGCATGTGGTCGAGTTAGGACTCCTTTGGCAATTCTTTGGCCAGATTTGTTCGAAAGAATCCATTGGATTCGTTGCATGGATTCAATATGATTCAATGGATTTGCAACGAACATCTTGAACCGACCGGCTCAGGAAAGGGGACACCACGGGCCCCTTGGATGACAAGGAGGACCACGGGCTATCAAGGTACCTCTACCGTACCTCGCTACATCTCAAGCAACATCAAGCTATCAAGCAACATTCTTGCACAGATGACTTGGGTCAATCTTCCTGTGTCACCATCAATAAGTCACTGACTGGCACCCTACTCCGAGATGCTCGAAGAGGCTTCCATCCTCGAAGCTTCCGTCTTCCATACACCGAGGCGACGGGCTGCAACCCGATGCCTTGATCTCCCTGACGGCGCCCAAGAAAGCGGCTGCCCATTTTAATGGTCGACACTTCCTAGGCGGACCCGGTGGGGCGCAAAGGGTGTGGCTTTGGAGCAGTTCAGGCTGAAGATGAACAAGACTACCATTCAGATCCGTATCGGAAAAGGTCAAACGAATGAGAGATGTCAAAAAATGCCAAAGGTGTTGCTGCAACAGAGATTGCTTGGCCAAAGCATTGATGCAGGTTGTCGGACTAGCATTACAAGAAACTGAGCTTTGTGAGTTTTTTGTGCAACTTTAACTATACAAGTTTTAAGTAGCCGAACCATCCGGAGATAGCCATCATGTGAGTTTGACCACTTTCAGGATCAGCGAATGAAAGGCAATGGTCGGGATGATTCGACATGCATACACTGTGGCTCACTGTAAATGACTGGGTTCTTTGCCTTGGTACCTTGGTTCTATGCCTTCAAACACATGTTAAATCGCTTGATAGACATGTGGTCGCCAGGGGGGCGATTCGTTCCCCCGGGTATTGTGGCGACTTGGCGGCAGCGGTAGGATTAATGCATGTCAAACATCGACGTGGAGAGAAGCGATGTGGAGGCGGAGGCACATGTGTGAATCAAAAACGACTGTTCAAAAAGACGACCACCTTTGGCCAGCTTCCCCGACTTCCAGAATGTTACCGGTTCGGTTTTAAGGTTTAAGTTATTAGTCCCGTAGAGCAGAACTCAAAACATTGGACAAAACCTTGGACCGTCAGTCTCAGTTTGGGATATGCACCCATCACCGCTGTGTACCAGGGTGTTGATTAAGAATGAAGAGGCCAGCATCGAATCGTTGGGTCTCAGAATCTAATCTTAGGAGAAATACAAGCTGCGGCTGCCGGCCTATCCTGGCGTTTCGCAGATAGCCCCCTGGACAGTGGTTGTGGGCAGGGTCACTTCAGCGCTGAAGAACGATTGCTTGGAAAGGCGTTCAATTGGGTGTTTCTTTCCAACTCATTTGAGAGTTATTTGCTTTGGTGTTGGGAAGACGATCTACATGACATGGTTGCCCTTTGTCTTTGTGCTTTGGCTCACCGTGTTGGGAACCACAGTAAATGTATGTAAATGTTTTTGGGTAACGATGCAGTCGATTTCGTGCCTCGGAGCACGAATCCAGTGCGTTCGCTGGTTTTTCGGTATCCTACTGGTAGGTTAGAAAGCCCTTTCAAAATAGCTGGATTGATGATTGAACGGAATTTGACTCCGTTTCATGGACTTGCAAGGTTCTTATCATGAGCGAGACAAGTTTAGCGAATCGTGAGGCCATGGACTTCCTTCTGCACTTTTGGTTGGTTGCAAGGTCTTCCCAAACTAGTTCCAATAGAAAGTCAATGTCTCTTGCGTGACTATGCCGTGTGGATCTCGCCTGAACGCCTAGGTTGGCAGTGCGTCACCGCTTCGAAGTTGGGTAAGAAAGCACCGCCAAAGCAAGGGCACATAGGGTAGTTGCTGATGAATATTGGGCAGGGCCATGACCATATTTTGGATCTATAATCTATACCAAGCCGTATGCCGCTTATGCCTCCCGCATCTCCCACAGGTCTTCCCGTGCTCTCAGGTTGAACTCCTCGACAAGTCCGAGCTCTGAGGACTAGCTCCTGTCGGTGGACGCGCCGACGGAGCACGCGGAAAATAGTTGTGGAAAAAGTCGTCTCGGGTGTTGGGAGTGCTGTGGCATGCTGTGGCAGGGTGTCAGTCATTTCCACACCAAAGTCCCTGATGTTTCACAAAAACAAGAGCGACCAGGTGTAATTGTGATATTCAAGTGTCGGCGTGGCCCTTGGGCTAACCGGCATATATATACTGCCTGTATCTCCCTGTGAACGTCACGTTGACCCTGGCTTCGATCGTAATCTTGTTGCTTCACCATGCTCACACTGGCGCAAGTGCCCAGGTTTACCATTGGCCAATATTGGCCATTATTTCACAGAAATATGATGAAATATGTAAAGAGACCTAATCAAAGCCCAGACCAGACTGCTTTGTGCGGGCAGTTGTATCCTTCATCTCCAAGTGACACTCGGTGAGATCAAAAATTGCGCAGGGGGACCTCGTCGCATGTCCCAAGGCCGACCGGACCGGAAGCTGGCTACATGTTCATTGTTGAAACATTCAGCCAATTGGTGAAAGTCATGTGAATCATTTTATATGATTATATACGTGTGTTTTTCTGATGTTCTTTTGGTTTTGTGAAATTTACATGTCAAAAACTCGTGCTGATGTCGTGGAACCACGCTGGTGGTCGAAGTCCTGTCGAGGAACGATGAGTCGAAGTCCTGTCGAAGGGCCTGGGGCCCATGGTTTCTTTGATGCCGCTGGAGGCAGATCCGAACCCAAAAAGGGACTCAAAAGGCGGAGTTGCATCAAACATAGAACTGGATCAGTGGCAAAAGTGTCTGAAACCACATGGGTGATGTTAGTTTGATGGTGTGTTGGATCGTGTATGTACCATGGGTGTGCTTTGCAACTCAATCTTGTACCCTGCAGCAGAACTGAGAATTGTTACACTTTGTGTTTAGGAATTAGACTTTCTGGACTCGAATGTATCAATGATCTTGAAGGTGTTTGTGAAGAGGTCTTGCGCATTGTTGGGTGTTGACGGCGGACTGTGTTGGAAATCGTCACCCAACCGATTCACAGTGTTCAATGCAGTCCAGGCTACTACGGCCACAGTGTTCCAGGTGCTGATGCAGGCAACGATATTCAACGAATGCAGCATGCTGCACGTGAGTTCTCAAAGCGCCGCTTTTCAGGGGCAACTTAACCAGACCGTTTGAATGGAGTAGATAACTTCCTGACAAGGTCAGTGAGGGGTTAATGAGTAGTTTGGTAGCTGGAGGTTTCCCCGTTGCGCAACACTTTGAGGTGGCCCCCACTGGGATCTAACAAGCACTGGGGTGACTGGAGGCTGGGCCGTTTGAGCAGTGGCCTTTTGAACTTCCATGGATGAAGAATTTGTGTATACCCTGTAGGATGTGGAAGTGAAGCCAAATATTGACCCAATGCTGTAGCAGTAACTTTACCCAGATGAGGTGCCAGTCAACATAGAGAAGCGTTTCCTTCTGGTCAGCTTTGTTCCACTCTTGTTTTGGTCCACACAGGCTATGGCCACACTGTCACTGGTGCTTCAGGCGACCGTTCCATGCTGCTTGACTTGTTGTGCTTTGCCTGCTTGCAGAAGCAGTAGACATTCCTCAACGTTTGGTGGGGACCCTGAGAGTTCTGAGTCTGAGTCTACTGGCCCGAGAACCGGAGAAGCCAGAAACCTGAGCGTGAAGCCATGGAGTGCCCGGGTCGTGCCCGCGACTATCGAAGTGGCAGCTTCATTACCTGCACTGTTCTCACGACACTGACCTTGGTGGTTCTTTTTGCCACCACGGGAGTGGACGACCTGCACCAGCACTGTTACTCTATTTGCTCCTCGCTACACAGGAACTTCGAAGTAAGAGAAGTGTAGGTGTTGTTTCTTCATTTGATATATTATATATATATATATACTTAGATGGATCATGATTCATGGACGATTGTTTTGGATTATAGACATATAGATAGAATATTGTATAATAATTTATATATATATATAAGATTATATAAGTATATATAGGTGTTCTATGGCATATGGTTGATGATGTTCTACCAGTTTTGCCGGTGACACGGTCATTCTTCTGTGTTGCTCTACCAAGGTCCAGGACCAGATTGTGGGTGGATTTGCAGCCGCCTCACCGAATACCGGGGAATGGAGAAAGCGATCTATCTCATTTTGAGCGTAGTCATATTCCTTTGCATCGTCTCGGCCATCTCTTGTGGATGTTTCAAGGACTGGGTGTCGAAGTTTTGCCAAGTGCAAGGTTGTTGAACGTTTTGCCGCTAGTTTTTGCTTGCCCCTGCTGCGTTCTAGTCGTCAGGAAGTCCTTGGGTTCACAGCACAGCGTAGTGGGTTTCAGTACTGACAAGCGTTGCCTGTATTTACTTGCTTGATCAAAGGAACGCTGGAGTTCACGAGACCGACATTGCACACCTGACACTTGGAGGAGGTGCTGCAGATACCCCGCTGCCCAGATGACTGCAACACAAGATACGTTCTTTGTGGACGGCCTTGCTTTGTTGCTGGTCTCTTGCTGCTCACCCTCTTTGTGTATTGGCTGATCGCGGTTGGGAGAACCACGCTATTGTCCGCAAACACCAGCGCAATTTTTGTGTATATCTTTGCCTTGGCATGGCTGGCAATGCCCTTGGTTTGCTGCGGCTTAGCACGCTTGCTGGTACCAGACGAGAAGGCGGAGAAAGGCGACGAAGATCGAGCCTTGATCTCCTCCCGTGATGCGCGGGCTGCACCCTGACATGTTTCAGGATGTGTGAGGTACAGGACACTTATGCTCTCACATATGATGTTTCACACGGTGCCGTTGCGAAAGATGAAACAACAAGCTGCTCCCGCTTCACCAGTATGGAATTGCAAGAGCATGTTCCTCCACTTACGAATGTGGTTTTAGCGGTGGGTGCTCTTGATGTTTGTTTGATTCTCGATGAGCTGCTTGTTTTGGAAGGCTTTGACACATCTCCTGCCACAGCTACAGGCACGGGCTCACTTTAATTACACATCAGAAATTCGTGGTTCCTGAGTGAACAACTTGGATCTGATGGCTCAAGTGCTATAGTTACCGTATCAGCTTTCGATGCTGTTACCGCAGCCGTAGACATCAGTGAAGAGATTCTTGCCAGCTCTACAACTCAGAGAGATCGAGGCCGTAGATAGGAGGCTCATTCTGCCTAGATTCTGCCTATTCGCTTTAGAATTGTTTTTGGATCCTAGTCTCGTCACTCGGTCGCTGCACGTGCCCCAGCTCTGGGTGCTACCTTCGAGCCTCAGCCTTACAGGACCGCGACACCAGCATGGTGACGTGACCAGATTGACCGAGAATGGCAATCGAATCTCATGGAGTTCTCACGGTTCTCACGGAGTTGATGTTGATAGGATTGGGGGAATGTACATATTTCGGCTACACCTTTTGCAAAGCCCTTTAATAACTCTTCCAAACATGTCTGGAGTCTTCTTCCTGTGCACCGGACTTGAATTTGATAGGAGTTACTATGAATGGGTGCTTAATGGGAAGCTACAGCCGTAGCTCAGATTAGACACACTCAAGACATTTTGCGTTCGATCTGATTGCACCAAGTCCTCCCGGAAAAAAAGGATCCTAAGTAAATATCAGGTGGTATGTAAGTCGGTAGCATCTGTCAAATGATCCAACCCAAAGGCTCGAGCATCCAAGACTCAACGCGTGACTGCAGAGTGCAAACCGATGCAAAGGACGATGCTCTAGTTAAATGCAGTGTAGGACCCACCAGCTGTACTTAGATGCCCAGGTGCGGTCAATAGCAGGTACGTTTGCACAAGCGCTGCATGAGCGTTTTCATTGGCTCTCGTCTCATGCAGGCTCCGAGAGCCCCCTGCTAACTTAAAGTCAAGGACCCCCTTTGATTCCAAGCATTACACACACAATACACACATGAAGCCCAATGAAAGCATTGTCACCAGATCATATGGAACATATGGAAGCCTACTATGGTCGCATTGCTGTGATCTAGGGAAGTCAGGGAAAGGGTGCTGGCTCAGGACGCATCACGATGCGATTGACCAGGCATCGGCGGGCGTTCAATGCAAACCAGGGCCGCCCGGAAAGTGTTCTCGTGCTTTTGGTGCACTTATATATGCTTATTATATATATAATATATAATATATCTTTATATACTTATACCACTCTTCTTGCAACCTTTCCTGGCCCTGCGACTGCGACTGGAAAGGGCCTTCCATCACCTGCTGGCCAAGAAGGATTTCAACGTTTGCAGGTGCCATGGTGGGAGCAGGGTGTTGAAAACAATGTGTTTAAATGCGTGTGCTGGCCTTTGTACAGTACCCAGTGCATCTCGGGTGCTGTTGTTTGGCCCCTTGAGCTGGCGAGTAGAAAAGTTACAGAGCGGCGTGTTTGAGAAAAACACATGGTGAAAAATACAGTTCGAAGACACTGCAAGTACCGTGAAAAGTTTTTGAACATGGGTTTGAAACCTAGGCGAAATTTGATGGAGGGAAGAGACTGGGAAAATGACAAAACGTCATATGATAAAAACTCTTATAATGAAGGAATGTGAAGGATACATGGCCTCTACCAAACGGAGGTTTCGGATGACAGGAGAAAATTCCATGAAGGGAAGGTTCAACCCAGGATCACCATTGTTTGTTAAGAGAAAAGGTTTGAAAAGGGAGACGAGGGTTGAACAAATACAGCATCATTTGTTTAATCCAGGAAGGCCTTTTTGACAACTCTGCAAAGAAGAACCCGTATTTGTTTACAGTAAAGACTGTAGTTACTTGCAGCGGTGTTACATCAGTAATTTATGCATGAATGTTTGCAGCACATTGCATTAGATGATTGACAACTTGAGTTTCTAATTATTTACACAAAAGGAGCTTGGTAAAGGAGTGTGTCTTTTGTTATAGGATGGTCAATTTCATAAAGCAGAGACCATGCGCAAAGGAGAAGATGTTTAAAGAAAAAGATTGGGTGAAATAGCACTAAACATGATGCC